CTTGTAAAACGATCTCTCTTCTCGTCTCGACTTTTGCTCTCTTTTCCTCTTCTACAAGACACCTTCACACAGCCCTCTCTTAACTCAGGTCACTCAAATATACCGAGCACGGCTGAAAAATCGAAACCCCACACAGATTGAAAAGTTCAACGGAAGGCAAAACACAAAAAGCAGATCTGAAGAAAATCAAAGTGAAAAAACAGGAAGAGAGAAATGGAATCTGTCTTTGGACTGGTGGGCAAAGATTTTGCAATTGTTGCGGCGGACTCATCGGCGGTGCACAGCATCCTCGTACATAAGACCAATGAGGATAAGATCATGCTCCTTGATTCCCATAAACTCATGGGGGCCTCCGGCGAAACTGGGGACCGGTAATACCACATTTCAACTAGTTACATTTATATGTACATTTTGTATATATTAGTATTTTTTTAATTTAATATATTTTTTAGGATTGACTGAATTTTTTTCGTATCGGGATGCATTTTGTTCTATACTTACTGGGTTTTCGTTTATCTATGTTCACATAGCGTAGGGTAAAATCTTTGGTAGAGTTCAGTTAAATTCATACAGTTATAGGTATACTTATATGTTCAAGTGTTCTGTGTTATTTAATGATAATTGTTGGAATAATTGATTTATTTATTTTTTACTGTGATAAAGTTTGTGTTTACTTGGGTTTTTGTTTATCAATGTGTATGTAGGGTATATCTTTTCTAGAGTACAAATGTACAACTAGTGCTCTCGCATAGTAGGCAGGTGTGTCTACGTGTAGATGCAGATGGATTGGAATTCTTTTAGCCAAGCCATTTTCTCTCTCGTGTTAAATAAAAGAAGCGTCTTTTTTTCCTACCCGAGTTTTCTATACAGGTTTTACCATTGGGATCGGATTTTACATATGTCAAAAAACTTAATGTTGTAGTAGTACTTATATTTGATTGCCTGTTTGTGTTTAAAATTTGATTATTTCAGTGAGGAATTTCATTTATTTGTGTTTTGTACTGAAGTCCTTTTTGCCACTCTGGCTCTTGATTTTTTTTTATTGAACTCGCAGGTAAACGTTTTTCTAGTGTGTAGATTTTGATATGCTATGGATTCAGGGTTAATTTGTTTATTTCTTATTGGGTTCTCTAATTTATTTCTGTGCTGGATTAGTTTTATGACATTAGTTGATCATATTTTATGAACATTTGTCATGATGTATACATATACATGCTTCCAATTTGGGCTAAATATGTTCGCGATAACATTATGATGAGTAAAGTTTTGCTATATTTGGGTAAATTGGGGCTGTAACTTCAAATCTTTTTGGCGATGATTTTATATGGTTCAGTTCAGTTCTATCTGAATGAGAATGCTTGACATGGAAATACTTATTTTAGACTTTTTAGTATTCATTTTCTGGTGTTTGTTTGATGCAATGAAATATTTCCTCCTCTTCCTCCTCCTTTTTATTTTTTATTTATTGAAAAGAAATGAGAGAAGAGAACAAATCCCTATCATTATAGTGGTCCTTGGATACTATATGATTGTAATTTGCTGGGTTTCAAAAATTACAAGAGGATTTTTATGCTATTTCAAAACAAGGGAATTTTTTGTTGTGTTTTGCAAGCCGCATGGTATAATTTGCTAGGATTTTTATGCTATTTCAAAACAAGGGAACTTTTTGTTGTGTTTTGCAAGCCGCATGGTATAATTTGCTAGTATCCGCAAGGGAATCTGATTTCTGGTTTTCCTATTACACATGCATGTGATGGCTAAGTTTGTTCATTCACATATATTATACATAATCCTGAACTGGTTTCGGCTTGATGAGCTTTACTTTATGGACATGTGTGTTTAGACGTTTGCTATAATTTTGCTCTAATAATCATATTATCAATGTTCTACGTGTGTGAAAATGTGTGAACTAAAATAATTTTGAATTTGACTTTTAAATTAAAGTTATTGTTTTTCTGGGTCTACATTTAGTTGTCCTTTGATGGGGGATTCCACTATGTTGTGGTAGTCATTGGACTGATACTAATTTTTTTTTCTCTTAGGTCATATTTAGAACTACTGAACTAAAGTATATAATGTAATGCTTCCAGTTCGGCTTAAATTTCTTTATGGTGCATACGTTGGCTGAAGCGCTTAAGACCTATGTGCTTATTTTAAATGTGATGGTAATTCAACTTGTTTGTGGAATGATGTATTAGGGCTCAGTTTACAGAGTACATACAGAAGAATGTGGCTCTCTACCAATTTCGAAATGGCATCCCTTTGACGACTGCAGCTGCTGCGAACTTTACCCGAGGCGAGCTCGTCACAGCGTTGAGAAAGGTACAACGTTCGTCTAGAGTTAATATTGGTAGTTTAGGGTTTTTTAATCTCTTTTCCTTGTTTGTACAATATGATAGTACTTTTCTGGTATTTTTGCATTGGAATGTTGAAACACATAACTTGGGGCTTGAATTTATCAAGCTAGCATCGGTTTTGTTTAGTACCATGCTCAAGAAAAATAGTGAAAAACTGTCTCTTTTATTTCTATGGTTTGACACTAGTGTGAGGAATGAAGATATCTGTCCAAAATTTTAACGTATCACTGCTATATTATTTTTATTAAAGATTTGTAGTAGAGACTATTTGGCAATTTGGCATTATTGTAATTACTAAATTCTTTTTGGTGCTTTGGTATGTTCTAAGGTTTTTTAAGAAGTAACTTTTGAGCATTTTGGAAGCTTTTTGCTGTCTCAAAGAGCCAGGACTTGAAACCAGTGGGGGCCAAATTTAATTGTGGGAAAAATTTTCAAACACAAAATACAACTATGTTCACAATAAAAATTAAAAAATCTCAGATTTCAGTGGGGGCCAGTGAGGTCCTCCCTCCACCACTGGTCTCTTTCCTCCAAGTTATTGTTTTTTGTGATTGTGATGGAGGAATTTTTCTCTCTTTTGAAGATACAAGATAAAATTATGATGTCTGATTAGGAAGAGAAATCAAAGTATTGCAATGTGTTGTATATAACAATTTTTCAGTGTCTTGGTCAAACTTCACTCGATTATTTTTGGTCAACACTAGTGCTATTAGTAGATAATGTCAGCAGCTGCTCTTTGGTAATTTTCCAGTTTTGTTGAAACCTTATTAGCAACGCTTCGTTATCTTTTCTCCATATTGTTTTTCTAGTGGAGCTCGGAATCTTTAGTTTCAAGATAAAATGGAAAAAAAAAAAAACAAAAAAGGAAAAAATAAAAAGAAGAAGAAAAGAAATAGAAGCAGGCACATGATAATCTTGTCCCTAAGAGAGCATGAATGGATACATATGTCCGTGTTATCCAAGGCGTAATTGATGTTTTAGAAATTTCCTTTTAACCACAAGTGTTCTAGCTTATTCCCTCTCACTTGATTTCCTTCTTTCGGAAACAAAACACATGCCTTTAGATGAAACATGGGAGAGTTAGGGATAGGCTAGGGATCCTTTGGTTATTTTTATGAACTTCATCACTTTCTTCCGTCAAGAAAGTAAGTAGTTTTCCCTAACTTTCAATGCATTAAGGAATTGAGGATTTATTTAGGCATTTAAAAAACTCACCTTATAAATTTGAGTAAAACTTCGAACATTTGGCCATAAATATGACATTCTCCCATTTGGTCTACATGTTAAACAATTATAGTGAAGAGTATGTTTGGCTTGTGTTTATAAATAGTTTATAAACACTCGAAGATATATAAACATTCAAGTCACTTTTTATCCACACATTTATAGGGACCCACAAGTAATGCGCACTCATCCGCCATTCATTTTTATCTGTTTATAAGCACTTCCAGCTCTTGCACTTAATGTGAGTACATATTTTGGCCAAAGAGGTAGTAAAATTATCAAATCAATTGATAATGATACTATGTTAAACACGTTGATAACGTGAAAGCTACTTTATTGAATGGGAATCTCGAAGAATACATGAAATGGATTGAAGGCTTTAGCCTGTGACTGGTATTTGAAGTTTTAGAATGTTGTTACC